TCCTTGAAAATATTTTTTGTGAATAAAACAAGAGAATAGTGGAAGATATAATAAATCACAATTCAGAGATCCTAATACTGGCTCTGCTATGACTTTCTGTGAAGTCTAAATTTCTAAACCTTTCTGGACATCAGTGTTTCATCTGCTAGAGAACGAAGTTGAGATAGATTAGCTCAGGTCGAATTCTGCTTTGGAAAAAAATCTGTGATTTTGATTGAAATTATGCTTTAGCACATCTAACAGATGTGTTGGAAAGAAGCAAAACCAAGAACTAACATATCAAGGAAGAAAGGAAAGCAAAAAAAAAGGAGTTAGAATTAAATAAAGTATAATAAAGTTTGAGCATCACCACCAAGTGAACAATGAAGGAGATTCCTGACTTAAGCAAAGAACTTATGGCAAGAACTATGGGTTAGAAAATAAAATCTTGGAGTCCTCCCTGGTGGCATGAGGGTAAAGTCTTAGAGCTATCACCGCGAAGGCCTGAGATACCCAGCCAGGGAGCTAGCCCACACATGCCACAGCAGTCCCTCCTGTCTTGCCCAGTACCCCCCTCAGCAGTATATTTCAGTAGGTTGGCCTATTTTGCTCCCTACTCTGTCTCTGGTGAATCCTCTCAACCCTCCACCCCTGCACCTCTGGCCTAAACTCCAGTTCTTTCATGCATAAATAAATAAATCTTTGAAAAAAAAAAGTTTTGGGAAAGACATGAGTGGGCCTTAAAGTTGAGACTTTGGCATGGCAGTTGTAAGGAAAAGCTGCTACTGATAAGGTTATCCAAATGTTAAGTACAGAATGCCTACACTTTACATTACATTAAATGAAAAAGCAAGGAATAAATTTGTGTTTTCAAAGGAGAACAACGGTCAAGGTTTGACAAATGACTGAATATGGGAGTAAAAGGAAAAATATTAAAGATGACAGATCATGACATCTAGGAATTACTCATTCCCCCTAATTGAATAAGCTCAGTATTAAAATTAATCAGAACAATTCAAATAGTAGTTTCAATTTTGTAACAAATTTCAAGAGTAAATAACCAATGTACAGGCTTTCACTGAAGTTTTTTATTTTTTAAAAAAAAAGATTTATTTATTTATGCATACAAGGCCAGAGGTGTGAGGGGTGAGAGGATTCACCAGAGACAGTGGGGAACAGAACAGGCAGACTGACTGAAATACACTGCTGAGGGGAGCAGCAGGAGAGACAGGAGAGGTCTGCTGCGCCATGTGGGTAGCTCCCTGGCTGGGGATTGAACTGCTGCAGTGGCTGCGGATAGCTTCATAGGTTGCATCTTAACCCCTTGCACCAACAGGGCAGTCCTCACTGATGTTTTTAATATTTAAAATGTTCATTAAGGGCCTCCCCGGTGGCGCAGCGGTTGAGCGCTGGGTTACGAAGCTGCGCGCGGCCTCTGCGGCGCCGGTTCGATCCCCGGCTGCTCCCCGGCCACCAGAGGAGGGTCCCACATGGCGCGCAGACCTCTCCTGCCGCCCGCTGCTCCCCTCAGCAGTGTACTTCGGTCCTTCTGCCTGCTCTGCTCCCCGCTCTGGCTCTGGTGAATTCTCTCACCCTCCCGCCCTTCTGACTGTACCCAGTGCATGTATAAACAAAAACAAACAAACAAACCAGCAAACAAATAAATAAAGCATGCCTCTATAAAAAAAAAAAAAAAAAAAAATGTTCATTAAAAAAATGTTCATCTGTGAGGGTACAATAATTTTCAAATAACCGTTAGCTGAGAATTTAACTCATACAAATGAGTAATCTTGCTAGAAAATGGAATATAAAGCCATTAACTGAGCAAAACTATACTAAGTTATATTTTAAAAAAGTAATAGTGGTAATTTTTATATTGGTCTCAAGAGAAAATAAGTCAGAAACATTGATCAAAATATTTGAGCTGAATTATACACATAGCCCTTTTCTGTTGCACTATCACTTGAACTGACAGTAACCTCTTATACAATATATCTGGCATATTTCTATGGGTATATATTTGTAAATATAGAATAACTGATAGCGGGCCTCCCCAGTGGCGCAGTGGTTGAGCGCTGGGTTGCGAAGCTGCCTGCAGCCTCTACAGCACCGGTTCGATCCCCAGCTGCTCCCCAGCCACCGGAGGGAGGGTCCCACATGGCACGCAGACCTCTCCTGCCGCCCACTGCTCCCCTCAGCAGTGTACTTCAGTCTGCCTGCTCTGCTCCCCGCTCTGGGTCTGGTGAATTCTCTCACCCTCCCGCACTTCTGACTGTACCCAGTGCTTGTATAAATAAATAAAAATAAATCTTTAAAAAAAAAAAAATAACTGATACCTATACTTTTACCCTGATTGTCCTTTTCATGTCCTCCATTGGATTTTTTCTCAAATTATATTTGAAGATCCCAGGAGAAAAAGCTTATACATAGGTTAAAATGTTCTTCATTAAGACTAGGGATAAATAAGGTTTTTTATTGTTGTGGGACTAAAAAAATTTTGACAGAAATTTGCTAGACTAGCTCTAAAAGATCTGAAAAGGGCTTTAAAATAAGACAAGAAAATATTAAGCATTCAGGAAGCAGCCCAAAACACAACACCTAAAAATTAAATATTTTAATAAAAAGAATGTCACTTCACAGTTCTATTTAGAACCTACAGCAGGATTTTTTTGTAATTTTTTAAATTTTATTTTATATATTTTTTTACATCATTTTTCATTTTTTTAAAAGATTTATTTATTTATTTATCTATTTATTTATACAAGCACTGGGTACAGACAGAAGCGCAGGAGGGTGAGAGAGTTCACCAGAGCCAGAGGGGAGAGCGGAGCAGGCAGACTGAGAAACACACTGCTGAGGGGAGCGGTGGGCAGCAGGAGAGGTCTGCTCACCATGTGGGACCCTCGACCGGTAGCCGGGAATCGAACCAGTGCTTCAGAGGCTGCAGGCAGCTTCGCAACCCAGTGCTCAACCGCTGCGCCACCGGGGAGGCCCCATTTTTCATTTTTATAGCAACGTATAGACACTAACAAAACCATTTCTATTTACTGAAGTCATGACAGAGCAATCAAATTTAAATTTGGAAAGTTCTGATTAATGACAATTCCAAGAAAATCCCTAAGTAGTGTCATACAGGACAAATACAAACTGTTTATATAAATCCCATATTTGAATCTCTATTACTAAATATGAAAAGGGAGATCTATATTCACTATTGATTTTGTCTTTGCCAAGTTTTATAAACTTGTGTCTCCTGCGCTCAGTCTAAAAAACCAAACAGAATAATGTACATTTAAGTAATTACAACATAAATGTTAAGAGTTACAGATAATTCCACTATCACAGCTATTTTACTAGACCAATACAGCACAAGAATTGAAAACAAATTATATGCAGATAAAGGTACGGAAAACATCCCTAGTTTACTGAAATATCAGTAATATAGCACTTGCTTCCGGACAGTGCTGTTGCTAAGAATTCCTGTTTCATCAAGAATAAATCAAAACCAGATACCGCAATATTTAACACAGGAAAAACTTGGATCTGAATAATCCGTAACTTTTATTTCACATTATTTTCATTTTCCTGAAGAACTATACATAATTTATACCCTCAAAATCAAGAGTAATTAAAATTAAAAACCTAAAATATCCATTTAGGGTCACCTACTTAACAAAATAATCATGTCAACTAAATTTTAGAAGATTCATTTTAGTGGATCATGGTGTCTCTGCAACTGACCTCAAATTATAAATAGATATTTTAGGGCCTCCCCGATCGCTCAGCGGTTGAGCACTGGATTGCGAAGCTGCCCGCAGCCTCTGTAGCGCCGGTTCGATCCCCGGCTGCTCCCTGGCCACGGGAGGAGGGTCCCACATGGCGCGCAGGCCTCTCCTGCCGCCCCCTGCTCCCCTCAGCAGTGTACTTCAGTCCTTCTGCCTGCTCTGCTCCCCGCCCCGGTGCGTTCTCTCACCCTCGGGCGCTTCTGACTGTACCCAGTGCTTGTATAAATAAAAATTAAAAAAAAAACCCTATCTTTAAAAATAAATAAATAGATATTTTAAGTAAATTAGCAAAAAACTAGTACAAGCAAAAAACTAGTATCAAATATAAATAGAAATATATTCATATTAATAGAAAAAGCTGCAAATTTTCTGGGTACTCAAATTCAAATTTTTATCCTAAGAATGCTTAGAAAACATTCAAGATCCAAACCATAAGTCGAGAAAAGGCAAAATTCCTCATTAGAGCAATAGAAAGAAATTTATTAAAACCGTTTCATTGACATTTTTTGTTAACTTTATTTTGAAAATGTAATTTACCATTTGCTCCTTTTATACCTTTTTCCTTTATTTGAAAATTCTTTAAAGTTGGCTTTTCTAAATTCAAACAAGTGAAAAGCAGTCATATATACTTTTTCATAAAGTATGGATGTTTTAATACATTTACTTTTAAACATAAGTTGTGAATATTGATTACCTTAACACCCAAAGGAGGTAAATTCTAATGAATGAATGGGTGCTAACCTCTAACATAATTAAGTCAATTAAAAGTTACTTTATGGGCCTCCCTGGTGGTGCAAGGGGTTAAGCAGCAGGAGTTCGATCCCCAGCCTACCAGGGAGCAACCCACCTGGTGCAGCAGACCTCTCCGGTCTCACCCACTGCTCCCCTCAGCAGTGTACTTCGGTCAGTCTGCCTGTTCTATTCCCCACTCTGTCTCTGGTGAATCCTCTCACCACCCCCACACCCCTGCCCTGTACCCAAGCTCTTGTATGCACAAATAAATAAATCTGTAAAAAAAAAAAAGTTACTTTAAGGTTTGGAAAGACTATAACAAAGTCCAAACTGCTGTATAAAGCAGATTTTTTGCTTGCTGATATATAATTTTTTTTAAAAGGAGTTTCATAGATAAACAGAAATGGCGTATCATTTGCAAACATTTTGTAACATTATGCATAGTCTAATTCACACAGCTTGAAGATGCCACCCAGCCCCCCCTTTACACTAAGAGAGCCTGACCTGGCTGAGATACCGCAGTGGCTGTAAACTGAGTAGCCCATGGCGGATTCTTCTGTCCTCCAAACTGGGCCATGACGAAAGGGGAAAAAAACTTTCGTTCGTTTGTCTTCTATAGCAGCGATCTATTAAGAAAGGATCCACACTTTAAAGTTCAATCAAATTGTAAATATCACAAAAAAGGATACTTTAAAGGCAGGTTTAATTTGTCTAGGACACCTTGAAGAGCTAAATATTAAGTAACATGCGGCATAGGATCGCCTGATGCGCAGCAAAAACACTTTACATGAAGAAGTTCACCAAAGTGCGCAATTTCAAGACACTGGGCAGACGCTACAGACTGTACTTTTGACTACAAACTGTCAGAAATTAATCAGAAGACCCTTCCCTTTCTCAAAAAGTTCACAGCTTTACGTTCAAAAGAAACACACCCTGCGTATTTCTTTTGGCAATGAGTTAGGACTTTAAAGAAACCAATAACGGAAATCCGGACAAACACCAAATATTGTTAAGGAATTAAAAATATTAAAGAATATCACAGAAATAACGAACATCTCCTTACTTTCTAGGACAGGCAAAGAACTGGGAGGGGAGAGGGGCTCCTTTTCCCTCCCCTTTCTCGTGGGTAAAGACAGTTGAAATAACGGATGCCCCTTCGAGAACCACGGCGCAGACCCCTCCCCCCAAAATCGAGTCTGAATAGGCAAAAGCCCGCGGTCGGCGCACCCCCCCATCCCCCACGACTCGGAGGGGCCAGAGTTCTGCCAACCATCTTCCTGCAGTCCCAGCTCCGCGCAGACCGCGCGCAGGGAAGGAGGGGTCCTCCGTCCCCCGAGACTGGGCAGAGTGCCTGGAGGGGTACGTGAGAAGCCTGGCCCCTAAACTCCCCATTTGGGAGATGGGGGAAGGCACCTATCTCCAAAAACCCACGCCGCCGCCAGCAGCCCGGACGCCCCGGGCCAGAGGCCAGGAGGCTGAAGCCGCAGCGGCGATGAGCGCGGGAGGGCGATCGGTCGCCCCTCCCGCCCCGCCGGGCCCAGGCCGAGGGGCGCCAGGGCCACCTGAGGCCCGCGGTAAAGGAGCCAGGCGGTGGGGGAGGGGCCGGCCGCGCGGGGCCTGCTCCGACCCGCACAAAAGGGGCCGTGTCCCTCCCGCCCCAGTCCCACGAGAGCCCCACCGTCTCTAGCCTACGGACGCCGCGCTACCAAAATAGTTGTTCCGGGCCCTCTCCGTGGACTCGACAGGACGTTAAGACCCCTGTTTGGCCGCCCGGAGCTCCAATCGCGAGGACCAGACCTTCACCTGAGTCGGATCCCAGCTAGCACCGAAGCCATTTCAAACCCGTCAGGCTTAGGCGCATGCGCCAACTTCCCCTCTTCCTCCTCGCCGCTCCCCTCCTCCCCATCTCTTGGAGGAAAGGCGCTTACGGGCTCACGTTCTACGTGCGCGCTCCCCAGCTCGCCATTCTATACGTCTTTCCGAGCGCGCCTAGAACTGGAGTGCGCAAGAGAGCGTTTCCTTGGCTTCGCCTAACAATGAGCCCCGCTGTGTCTTTGCGCAAACTCCGAAGGAAAGACTTTCTTTCATTAGGGTGCGCGGAATCGGCAGTCACGTGATCTGAGGAGGACGCAGCCATTTTGTGTTTTTGCCTTTTTCCTCCCCTCCTAATTCGTGTACTTGGAAGAATGCGAATCCTGTGGCATCTTTTTTAAAATTGAGATAAATTTCACAGCATGTAATTCACTGTTTAAAATATTTTATTTTGTACAATTTAGTGACTTTTAGTAGTACATACATAAAGTGTGCAAGGACCCGCACCCAACCCAAAAGAAACCGCCTCCCATTAAACACTTAATCACTGCGCCCTCCATCTCCTGGCAGACCATTAACCGGCTTTCTGTCTCTATGGAATTGCCTACTAGATATTTCATATTAATAAAATCTTATATAGGTTTTTGTGTCTGGCTTCTATGACACTAAGGGGCATGCTGTAGCATGTATCAGCACTTATTTCCTTTTAGTAGCTAAAACTATATGGAAAACACATTTTGTCCACTCTTTGTCCTGTTGTTGACCATTTAGGTACTCTCCTTATTCTAGCTATTGCACACAATACTATGACCCTTCATGTAAAAGTTTTCAATTCTCTCAGGTACATAGGAATGAAATTTTGGGTCACATAGTAATTATTTAACTTTTTGAGGCACTCCCAACCTGTATTCAAGGTAGCTACACCACAGGATTCACCAGAGACAGAGTGGGGAACAGAAGAGGCAGACTGACTGAAATACACAGCTGAGGGCAGCAGCAGGCGAGTCAGGAGAGGTCTACTGCACTATGTGGGTCACCTCCCTGGCCAGCGGGTAGCTTCATAGTGCTGCCTCTTAACCCCTTGAGCCACCAGGGAGGTGATACTAAGTACATTTATAGTGTTGTGGAATGATCTGTGCTCTATTACTGTGTAGCAAATCATCACAAAATGTAGTGGTTTGAACAACTTCCTTTTTCTTAATTGAGGTAACTGGTTTGCAGCATTGTTTGATTTAGAGATTTAGGATCTCCCCCTTCTAGGTGCTGTTACCACACCACACCCATCACCAAAACACTCATTGGCCCTCCACCATAGTCCTCTGGACCACCACTTCCTTTGCTCTCTCTCCTCCTGCTCTGGTAACCTCAGTTTTGCAGTTAGAGTAAGGATTTGGGGCATTTATGTTGTTTCCATAGCTTGACTATTCTAAATAGTGCTGCAATGAAACTAGGAATGCGTATATCCCTTTATGTTAGCGTTTTTGTATTCTTTAAGGCTACTAATAGAGGAAAAATGTCATTTCTGTAATCAGTTACTATGTAGCAAAGCATCACAAAATGTACTGACTCAAAATAACTTAATATCCTGGGTCCCTGGGATTACTGAGTATAGCTGGATGGTTATTGCTTAAGGTCTCTAATTTGCTGGCCTTCAGATGTCAGCAGAGGCTGGAGTCATCTGATTCCATCAAGTCCGAGGTAATTACTTGACTCACAAATCTGGCATTTCAGAGGTCCTTTATTTTTAGTACCTCCAGTGAAGCAGCTTGTCCTCCTTTCCTAACAGCCCAGGACTCCAAAGTGGAGAAAAGAATGCTATCAATTCAGATTGAAGGAGGTGAAAGAATAGTTGTCACCTGTAAATGGGAAAATGCCCTGCACAAATGGGGAGGAAAAGAGATTGTAACAGGGTGGTCCCCAGAAAAGGGGGAGGTTCCCTGCCCCACCCAAGGGAGGGTGGAGCTGAGCAGGGAGAGGAGAAGCTGCAGAAGAGACTGAGGAAGGAAGCAGGATGGAGCCAGGAGACCTGGAGGAGGCGCATGGAGCCTAGAGACACGTGAAGAAACTGAGCTTGTCTTTTGGTCGTGGACTGGGTGACACAGATGTGGGTGAGACCCGTGGGGAGGTGACAATGGCAGCTTTTATCTTGATGTTGATTTTGCTCTTTTCCTTCTGGGCTTGTCTGGTTGTTTCTGACCCTTTTCTGTGGGTCCCCACTGGAAGATGCTTTAGACTTGTGGCAGGATTTGGGGCCTTGCTCTGGGCCAATCCCATATGGATGGACTTTTACCCACGAGGGGACGGGTAACTTTGGGTGCTTCATTTAGAAACTAGACTCTTTGCCTTTCCTGTATTGTTTCCTAGTTTTATTAAAGTTCCTTCCCATTAAAGTCTCATATGTTTTGTGTTGATGCGGCGGATGGCAGAACCCATTTAGAATAGGCAGGTTTGCGGGGTTTGGGCTGCCCCTCTCCCTGTCCTATAACAAAATGATGACATCTTTTAATGTAGTTTTGGAGATGCACTAAAAATCCCACTGTGTGTACGTGTGTGTGTGTGTATACATGTATATATATATGTGTGTGTGTGTGTGTGTTAGAGGGAAAAGGATGTCCTAAAGTTAATTCCATTAATTCCATACAGGCTTTGTGGACTCCACTCCCAACCCAAGCCAAAGCCAAAGACACTGGGAGCTCCAAATTCCATCACCACCAAAGGGAAGGTGGCTGGGACCTGAGGGTGGGGTTAAGTAGCCAAGTGAGTATAAAGACAGACACGTGGACTTTGGGGGAGTCTCCCATTTTGGCTCTCCACCAGCTAGCAGCATCCAGCCAGCTCTGAGAGTGACTTTGGGTTTCCAGGTCGGCAGATCTGGTAGGACGCATTAAAGACTTTATTTCCCTATTTTCTCCCTGAGTTGTACATTTTCTTTATTTCCTTTTCCCTTGTAAATAAACCTTTTATTAACCTTTTGTGTGTGCCTGTAGTAGAGTATTAATAAGTCCCTTTTAAGCGCGCGGGTAAGGACCCACAGCCAGGAACCCGTTCAATATCGGGGCTGTGCTATAACAGCTATACATACATATTTATGTCATTGCTTTCAAAATTATTTTGCCACAAGTAACATAATTTACAGTCGACTAACTTTTCTCTTCAATATTTATGCATATGTGGGAATTATCAAGAAACAAGGAAGAGGGCCTCCCTTGTGGCCTAGGGTTAAGGCTCAGTGCTACCATCTCCATGGCTCACCTTCATGGCCTGATTCCATTCCCCAGCCAGGGAGCTAACCTACATGGTGCAACAGATCTCTCCTGTCTCGCCCACTGCTCCCCTCAGCAGTGTATTTCAGTAGATCTGTCTGTTCCGCTCCCCACTGCCACTCTGGTGAATCCTCTCATCCTCCCACCTCTGCCCTATACCCCAGCTCTTGAATGCATAAATAAATAAATCTTTTTAAAAAATCTTTGAAAGAAAGAAAGATAAACCCAGCCTATGGCTTGTTGTCAATGTAGTGGAATTTTTATTAATAGAAATTTAGACATTTAATGAAGAATCATTAATATGACTTAATCATTGATATGACTTCTCATTTTGCTTAGAAAGAATTAATAATGAGTATTGATTTTTATAGTTCTTGTTCTGTTTCAGGTTGAGTTAATATTTTCATTTTTATTTATTTTTAAATTTATTTATTTTATGCATACAAGAATTGGGGTCTTATATGGGCGGGAGTGTGTGTGAGGGGATTCACCAGAGACAGAGTGGGGGAACAGAACAGGCAGGTTGACTGAGATACACTGCTGAGGGGAGCAGCAGGTGAGACAGGAGAGGTCTGCTACACCATGTGGGTAGTCCCTGGCTGGTGATGGAACTCATGCTGCAGTTACTGTGGATAGCATCATAATTCTGAGATTTAACTCCTTGGGCTACCAGGGAGGGCTTGGGCCAACACTTTTTGACTGGGCATTTTCCCATGAGGAGATGAGTAACGAGGGGTGCTTTGTGAAACTATTATTAGTAAATATATCCTTCCTTCTCTTTCAATGCACAATGATTCTATTAAAGATCCTATACACTAAGAATCTGCTTTGCCTTTGTGCACATGGGTGGTCAGAACCCTTTAGAGCATGCAAATTTGGGGTTCTATGGGTATTCCATAGTTGTGCACTAATAGTATTACTTTGTTAAGTGAATAAACCTCACTTTCCAGTGGTCCAAGTAAGAAAGAAAAGTTGTGTATCATTTTCAGTATTGGGCATAAAAGAGGGAGGCCATCACAAAGTGGAGAGATAGTGACCAAATCATCTCACAGCTTATCTCCTTTGCTCTGTATCCCCTGGAATGAGGCAGGGCAGGTAGAGGGAAATAGAGGTTAAGAGTATGGAATGAGTGGGCATCCCTGGTGGCACAAGGGGTTAAGACACAACCTATGAGGCTGTACTCAGCCTCTGCAACACAAGTTCGATACCCGGCCGGTTGGGGGCTACCCACATGGTGCAGCAGACCTCTCCTGTCTCACCTGCTTTTCTCCTCAGCAGTGTACTTCAATTGATCTGCCTATTCTGTTCCCCACTTTGTCTCTGTTGAATCCTCTCACCCCCCGCACCTCTGGCCTGTACCCCAGCTCTTGTATGCATAAATAAATAAATCTTTAAAAAAAAAGAAAGAGCATGGAGTGAGTCATACTACCTAGGTTGAAATCCTGGTTCCTACTCAATAGCTGTGATATTCCTGGGCTTGCTGCTTAACTTTTCTGGGCCTATTTCCTGATTGAGAATTATATGATTGTTAAATATGTAATGCTTTACAGGGAAGCACTTGGAACAGTGTTGGCAAACTGTGAATTTTTGTAACCTTATTCTATTTCTGCTTAGGTACACGAAATAGTTCAAGGAAAACAACCTTGCCACTAGAGGGCTGGGAAACTAGTATGGATAACGTTTAAGGTTATCTTTAGCAGAAAATAAAGACTCAACATGGAAGAATCTGAAAAGCATTATACTAAATGATGCAAGTTAGCCATTCTATTTTCACAATATTCTGAGAAAGACAAAAAGTACAAAAGAAATCAGATCAATCAGATCAGTCACCATCATAGGCAACCATG